AAAATCGTAATTGCGATTAAAATAGATTAATTGCACAGCCTAACACCACACACACCACACACAAACACACACACAACACACACACTCAAGCACACACAGACGCACACTTTTTGTCTAACACGCTAACACAGTTCTGTATGTTACGCTGTTGTGTTCAGTCACTGTTCTTATGTTGAACATGAATACATTTACTTTGTAAGTGATTATGGGACGTATTTCTTCTTTATTTACATTTTCCTTCATACTTTATTGCTGTGAAATAGGTCTTAAATTCTATTCAAAGTGGTCTTAAAAAGGTGTTAAAAAGTCTTAAATTTGAGTTGGCGAAACCTGCAGGAACCCTGTACAATAAAAAGTCCTGCATTCAAAATGTTACAAGTAAAGTACAAAAGTATTAGCATCAAAATATAGTTAAAGTACCACCTGCAGAGGGATCTAGATTCAGGTGTTCTTTTCCCCATAGAGACGCTCGCTGCACATTATCCCTTGCATAAAGATAGATTGTGGGTCCCTTATAACATGTACACAGTGGAAATAAACATTCTGGTCACCTCAACATCAGGGATCTTATACATTAAACTCCTTCTGAATCAAACCGTCACGGTAGCCTTACCTTACTGATCCCTCTTAAATTAGAAAAAACACACGTTACTTTACCAGCAGAGAGAAATGGATTATTAAATTATTAATGTGACTAATAAAGAGCTGTTTGATTATTAAGTATTATTCTGTTGATCGATGTCATTACATTGGTGAAAAGCAATAATGACTTGTTTATGACTCGTTTTGTCAAAGTTTAGGACTTGACTTGACTTGAACTTGCCCATCCTGACTTGAGACTTGACTTGGACTTGAGCGCAAAGACTTGAGACTTGACTCGGACTTGCAAAACAATGACTTGGTCCCACCTCTGCTGTAGACCCATTCTCTCCGCAGACCCGTTCTCTCTGCAGACCCATTCTCTCTGCAGACCCATTCTCTCTGCAGACCCATTCTCTCTGCAGACCCATTCTCTCTGCAGACCCATTCTCTCTGCAGACCCATTCTCTCTGCAGACCCGTTCTCTCTGCAGACCCGTTCTCTCTGCAGACCCATTCTCTCTGCAGACCCATTCTCTCTGCAGACCCGTTCTCTCTGCAGACCCGTTCTCTCTGCAGACCCATTCTCTCCGCAGACCCATTCTCTCCGCAGACCCATTCTCTCTGCAGACCCATTCTCTCTGCAGACCCATTCTCTCTGCAGACCCATTCTCTCTGCAGACCCATTCTCTCTGCAGACCCATTCTCTCTACAGACCCATTCTCTCTACAGACCCATTCTCTCTGCAGACCCATTCTCTCCGCAGACCCATTCTCTCTGCAGACCCATTCTCTCTGCAGACCCATTCTCACTGCAGACCCATTCTCTCTGCAGACCCATTCTCTCTGCAGACCCGTTCTCTCTGCAGACCCGTTTCTCTGCAGACCCATTCTCTCTGCAGACCCGTTCTCTCTGCAGACCCATTCTCTCTGCAGACCCATTCTCTCTGCAGACCCGTTCTCTCTGCAGACCCGTTCTCTCTGCAGACCATTCTCTCTGCAGACCCTTCTCTCTGCAGACCCATTCTCTCTGCAGACCCATTCTCTCTGCAGACCCATTCTCTCTGCAGACCCATTCTCTCTGCAGACCCGTTCTCTCTGCAGACCCATTCTCTCTGCAGACCCATTCTCTCTGCAGACCCATTCTCTCTGCAGACCCATTCTCTCTGCAGACCCATTTCTCTGCAGACCCATTCTCACAGCGTTTATCAACCTTTTTTACTCAATATCAAGCCACACTTATTGTTTTTACTTCGGCTGTGACTTTGTGTGTGTGTAACAGGCCCCGCTATGCAGGGCGCGATGACAGATAGTATTTCCTGTAAAACACGAGAAATTATGAAATTATTACTGCTCGTTTGGCGGATCTTCCAGAATGGCAAGCTAACGACAGCTCCGTCATCACGTCAGACATTTTACGGTAGACGCGTAAATAATAACAAACCCCTTTACGGCAGTGTTACTCTGCCATCTACTGCCCCCTGCTGTCCATTGTTAAACAGGTATATAAAATGATATTAAATATAAACATAAAATTGTGATCACACACTTTGTGTGGGTCACATGTGCTCAGGATGAGTTTGGCTGTGTTTCGCTAAACAAGGAAATAACACTCCACGGAGCTCAGCGCGATTGATTGATTGATTGAAAAGTTTATTAACAGCTTGTATATTGGGTACAGTACAGTACAGCTCAAAACATACAATTGTTAAGGGGATGCAGACCAGAGAAAGACTTTCGTCTTGTTACATCAGGGTCCCCCATTTCCAATTCATCATGTCATTTAAGACATATAAGACATATTTTAACGCGTTAATAACGCGTTAACGCAAAAAAAATTAACGCCACTAATTATTTTAAAGCGATTAACGCAGTGTCTTTTTGTCCTCGGCCGCCCCGTAGTTTCAGAGCGCATCGAGTTTAAAATACATTCTACAAGCTGATGCTGACAGCCCCGCTCCTGCCGCCCGCTTGCGGCACAGACCACACTTCCACGCTCACCGGCAGGCACCTGGGGAGGACCGGGAGGGTGTGTGTGTGTGTGGCACAAGCGAGCGAGAGAGAGACCTTACGTGCATTGTTGTTGTTAGCATCTGGTGCTAGCTAGCTGCGCTAATGGATAGAAGGAGCTGTTTAAATGAAAACAGAGGAGCGACATTTCGCCAACTGCGCCGAGCACTTGACTTTATGCAGGAAGCCAGACAGTGGGACATTGTACGAGAAGTCAGCACACTCAGCACGGATAGTGCGCGCAACATGATTGCAGCGTCCAGGTAGCTCCCGTTCGAGCATATGCCTTGAGTTGCACATAGCTCCAACGATCCATCTCTCTCACACACACACACATACACACACACACACCACACACACACACACACACACACACACACCATTTGTATTGTATTATTGAATGAAAGAGGTTCCAGGTTGTTGTGTTTAATATTCATGAGAATATTTGTCATTGTTCAAATGATAATAAACATTAGCATAAAGCATATTTGTCCACTCATATGTTGATAAGAGTATTAAAAACTTGAAAAATATTCCTCTAAGGTACATTTAGAACAGATCAAAAATGTGCGATTAATTTGCGATTAATCGCGATTAACTATTTTAATCGACTGACAGCCCTAGTTCTAATACATCCTAACCGGACATTTAAGACGTACCAAGTCTACAAATATACAGTTAGTAACAGAGTCTAAAATGCGAGTATTTACATAGATGGGGGGGGGAAGCTGTCCATTGAACGACAGGTTGAGATTTGTACCATTACCGGGGCCAGTTTTGCAATGCTCTCCCCCGAAGGTGCTCTTTAAGAGAGGTTTTGAAGGTAAGTATAGTTTTACTTTCCTTCACAGTTGTGGGAAGAGCGTTCCACCTTGATGTGGCATAATTGCGAAACGTGTATTCCCCCTTTTTTGTGCCAAATCTGGGTTTCACATGATTTTGCGGAGCTCCCTCTGGTGTTATGATCATGGTATTCCTTGACCTTTGGGAATAATTTTGACATGTACATGGGTACCATAGAGGTGTAGTGGATCTTGTAGACCAGGCCCATTGCAAGTAGCTGTACTCTGTCGTCTACTCTAAGCCATCCTAGGTTGTCAAAGTGGGCAGAGGTGAGGTGGGTTCTAGATGAAAGGTCAAGCAGTAGTCTGACCAGTTATTTTGCGATGTTTGAAGTTTTATTTTTAGCGCCTTGGAGGTGCTATGGTACATGACGTGCAAGCATAGTCATAGTACCCTTGAATGAGTGCTCCTGCCAGAGTTTTCAGGGTGTTTTTGTTTACCAGAGAGGAGATCCGGTATAGGAATCTAGTTCTTTGATTGACTTTTTTTATTACATTGGATGCCATTTTGTCACAGGGGAGGTTTGCCTCAAGAATCGATCCTAGGTATGTCATTTCCTTCTTACTTGTGACAATAATGTCGCCCACTGCAACTGAGAAGTCGTCGGATTTGCTGAGATTATGTTTCGAACCGAAGAGATTCACAACGTCCCGACTGGTCCCGACCAATCGGAGCACACTGGGCTCACAGGGAGGAGGGGGGGCAAGAGCTGCAACGAGCCGTTTAGTGGAGAGAGTGAATACTGCTGAATACACATACTTTACAGAGATGCTGTATGCCAGTGTTTGTCAATCTTTTCATACCAAGGACCACTTAACCAATAAAAAAACACTCGCAGACTAACTCCACAAATATCCAAAAACACATCGTTTTTTACAAATCGCCTGAAAATTGTACAAACAAGTGGCAACATGTGTGATGAAGGTGCTTATATGGGCTATATCATGCAATCGAAAGTGAAACTTAAGCTCGTTCCATTGCGGAGATATTCCCGCGAGAGTGCGAAAAACTTAAATACATTTATTTATTTCAAATGTGAAATTCTACCAATATACTCACGGACCACTAGGGGGCGCTCACGGACCACCAGTGGTCCACGGACCACACTTTGAGAAGCACTGCAGTATGCGAAACCAATGTGAGTTGGAACATTGAACAATGTAAATCTATTCTAGTAGACCTCAACAATGGAATTATGATCAGTGGAAATGGCCATGACACGGCATGACATGTGACCTTTAAAACGTCTAATTGCCTTTGCTCTATTGAGCCCAGTTAGCTTCCTTTGACCATCTGAGGTTTTTAGAAAAGAAATATCAGAGGAGTAATGAGGAAACTCTGCTCTGTATTATTCATATTATCTGTGTGTGTGTGTGTGTGTTGTGGTGTGTGTGGTGTGTGTGTGTGGTGTGTGTGGTGTGTGTGTGTGTGGGGTGTGTGTGGGTGTGTGTGTGTGTGTGTGTGTGTGTGTGTGTGTGTGTGTGTGTGTGTGGTGTGTGTGTGTGTGTTGTGGTGGGTGTGTGGGTGTTGTGTGTGTGGTGTGTGTGTGGTGTGTGTGTGTGGTGTGTAGGCCCAGAAGAGGATGACATTCAGGTCGATGATGAAAGCGTTAATGAACATGCCGTGTCATTACCGCTACCTGTGTGTCAGCCACCTGCTGGGCTGGACCGCCTTCCTCTGCAACATGCTCTTCTTCACTGATTTCATGGGACAGGTAATTATTCTTGCAACCTTTATGTGTGGTGTTCAAATGAATTAAGGTCTGTGGTTAACACAAATGAAGAGATTTAAAAAAAAACATAAAATATGTCAGTAAATACAACACTGGTGAATTAAAAAAACTGCGGTTGCTAACAAGTGTCTAAATGAGACGACTAAACGCCATCACGCCCATTAGAGCCTTTAGCTTAGCGGTGGAGACGTGAAGTCATGTGACCGTGCTGTAGTTCCTTTATAGCCCAAGTCTTTAAAGTAGAGACAATACATACTGATATACACCTGAACATCAGCAGGAGAGGACTCTTTAAAGTAGAGACACTACATACTGATATACACCTTAACATCAGCAGGAGAGGACTCTTTAAAGTAGAGACACATACTGATATACACCTGATCATCAGCAGGAGAGGACTCTTTAAAGTAGAGACACTACATACTGATATACACCTGAACATCAGCAGGAGAGGACTCTTTAAAGTAGATACACTACATACTGATATACACCTGAACATCAGCAGGAGAGAACTCTTTAAAGTAGGTACACTACATACTGATATACACCTGAACATCAGCAGGAGAGGACTCTTTAAAGTAGAGACACTACATACTGATATACACCTGAACATCAGCAGGAGAGGACTCTTTAAAGTAGATACACTACATACTGATAACACCTGAACATCAGCAGGAGAGGACTCTTTAAAGTAGAGACACTACATACTGATATACACCTGAACATCAGCAGGAGAGGACTCTTTAAAGTAGAGACACTACATACTGATATACACCTGAACATCAGCAGGAGAGGATCTTTAAAGTAGAGACACTACATACTGATATACACCTGAACATCAGCAGGAGAGGACTCTTTAATAATTAAAGCCATGCAAAACATCTCAAAATACTCTCAAATTCAAGCTTTTCAAATGTGAGGATTTCCAGTCTTAATAATTGTAAACTTAATATTTAACACTAAACTAAAAAATCAAAGGGACCGGAAAAAGCAAGCTGCAATATGTTTTATATTCATCTCCGTTTTGTTTGTGTTGGAGGGTGGTCACCTCCTGCTGTGTCTCTTCTCCTGCTGACTGATATGTTAATGATTGTTGACACTTAGCTCCGTGTGCATGCTGATCAGGATGTTACCTCTCAGCACGGTTACACTGCAGGCTTTGTTATCAGGAGAACAACAGTGAGCTCCTACTGGGTGTGAAAGGAAGGAATAAAAGCGTGTGTTCAAAGAAGCTGGCATCTGATATCAATATCAGTGAAGCTGTATTTTAGGAGCATGCACTGCAGGGGTTATCTTGTATGCACGGATCAATTTCAGGCTTCTATAACACAACGTTTTCGTTCATACTGGGGGAAAGAAAACATGAACAATTTATTTATTCAACCACTTTTGTCCGTTTGCATCTGTGATTTCTCTATAAATTCAGCTGTGTATGCATTTCACGATCCATATTTTTCAAGGCTGTTTTGAAAGATATGGATTCTTCTCTAAGCACAAATCTCCACTTCAGTAGCACTTACTTATATCACCGGCAGTGTTTTGCACTCTGTCACACACTCATTTACACACTAAAAACATGCAGAAAATAACTTTTTATGGCAGTATTTTATGATATAACGACATTCCCTTTGCAAAAGCCTTTGACTCTAGTAGGTCGCAAAATGAAAAAATAGTTTTGAACCTGGTTTTCACCCAATAATCACATTTCTGTGGCCAAAATGTTTGCAAATGAGACACAATGCTTAATTTGCATATTTAAAAAATCACATTTCAAAAAAAGTATTGTCTTCATGCCTGTAACCACCTGGGGAAGTTTCATTATGATATCTATACGTTATTGTTTTACCCTATTCAAATATATTCATCTTCACACAAAAACTCGAAATCTTGCCCAGTATATTCGTCTAATATCCAGTCAGAATATGTCTCTCTACACCTGATATAAGACATACTAACTTCAGAAGTGACACTGCAGTGAGATATAGGTTCTTGTTTTAGACAATGCATCATCTTGTTAAAGGGGACCTATCATTCAAAATGCACTTTGTGATGTCTTCTCTCCATCACCATGTGCCCCGGTGAGTCGGGGAACTCACGCAGCGTCAGGAAATAAAACCCTCTCTCTTTCCTCCGTACCCAAATCTCTAAAAACGGGGAACAACGGAGCTGATCCAGATTTGCGTCCGATATGACGTAATATCTGAAATGTGGACCCACGGCCCCAATCAGAACGTTGCTATCAGAAACAATGCCCGACTGTTTTGGACGTAATATGGTCGGTGTTTACATTAGCATCGCTAACACTCAGGCTAACCTGTACTGGAGAGCATGTGTGTGAAGAAGCAGGAAGTAGAAAAGGAACTCACCTTGTGGTATAACCGGCAAGAGAGAAAGCCTTTGAGCTCCAGACTGTTTCAGAGAGAATCCTTGATAATCCATGATATGGCGTTTCATCACGGCAGCATTTAGTTTAGACAGTAGCTGCCGGGGTCCCGCATGAGCTCAGACCCCTCCTCTTTAAAGCTTTATACCCAAATCAGCACTTTAGAAACAGGAAGTGAAATAGAGGGATATGAGGCATGGCTAGAATGACTGTTTGGTGTTTGGAGCAAAAACACTTCATAGACATGTTTTTTATATATATCTGAGACCTGTGCTGTTGCCTACAAATAGCATGATAGGTGACCTTTAAGTCAAAAACCTTATTTTGAGTTTTATCTCAGATGAAACACGTATATATTTATTAGAAAATCACCAACTAACATCAGAAAACTTTTGAGCATTTGCGGATTATATTGTAACAACATTTCCTGATTCTGGTCAAATATAGTTCAAAATGATTCCAGCTGATTACAAGATCTGATTGATCTGAATATCCCTTCTTATTTCAAGAGATCTCACCAAGCTAATGTCCACTTGTTCTATTGGCTGATCTTTGGACTGATTCAAGAGAGAACAGCTTGTTTTCATTATTCTTTAACTTGTTTTTGGAGCAGCTTTTTTCCAGTGTTTTAATGTGTTTCTCTGTTTGTTTTGCAGATCGTGTACAAGGGGAATCCGTATGCAGAACATAACTCCACGGCCTACAGTAGGTATGAGCGAGGAGTGGAAGTGGGCTTTGGGGTCTTTGTATCAACGCTATTTCCTCCGCTCTCTACTCCTGTAAGTAACCCAAAGATTGTTATTATTGTTTATTTATTTCACACACACTGGAAAAAATGCTGCTCCAAAACAAGTTAAACGATAATGAAAACAATCTGCCAATAGAACAAGTGAACATTAGCTTGGTAAGAGAACTTGAAATAAGAAGGGATATTTAGATAAATCAGATCTCGTAATTAGCTGGGAGAACTAGTTTTGAAATATTTTAGTAGAAGCAGGAAATGTTGTGTTACAAAATATGCTGCAAATACTCAAAAGTGTTCTGTGTTCTGATGTTAGTTGGGGATTTTCTAATAAATATGTGTTTTTGAGATACGACTCAAAATAAGATGTTGTTGACTTAACCTGTTAAGCCCCCAAGCCTGTTTT